TGGCAAATTGTAATGGAGCCACAGCTAAGGCTTTTCGAATGCTATGAGCACTTTGGAGGCATTTCAAACGATTAGACAAGGGTATGTTCCAAGTATTGTATGCAACATATGTCGGGCCTCATCTAGAATACTGCATACACGCGGTGAGTCCACGTTTCAAGAAGGAGGCACATATCCTGGAAAGAGTACAGAGGGTAGGAACGAAATTAGTTAGTGGCATCTCACACTTTCTTTATGATAAAAGGATGGAGCATTTAAATCTCTTCCCATCATCATACCGAAGGAAGAGAGGCGACTTCATTTTGGCATACCGTATATTAAAAGGTAATTTAGGGACTTACCTTTCTAATCTTCTCTCTCCCTCTAGGATACATTTACGGGGTCACCATATAAAGGTGCTCAAACCTAGGGCGATTAAAGTACGTGTAGAATTTAGATTCTCTCACAGAGTGGTCAACGACTGGAACTCCTTGCTTGATTCAGTAGTAACAATCCCATCTGTGGACGCTTTTAAACAGAAGTTAGATCTCTGCAGAGATATATTTTGCAGGGATTAAAATAGGCAACAAAAGCCTTCTATCCTTATCATCTGAATCTGAATCATTTTCCCTCCTGCTTCATAGCCTTTTTTTATCCTGACTACCTTACAGTAAACTAGGATTGAAATCCTGAACTTAGTGATGATCTAGTGCCTAAGCCAGTGAACTACACTGCAACACTTTATACTGACTGAATGTTGATTTACTAACTCTTTTTCTCTCATTCTTGGTTGACTAGTTGTGAGTTGTTCCTTAGAGGATTTGATTGATTTGCTTCCATATGCGTATAAAGTTTGATTATTTTATTTATTTCCATCATAGTATGCATTTTAATTTAAGCTCACTTCACAGAATGTACAGCTATACTTCACCATTAGTGTGTTGATGTTTGTATTCAGATATAAACTTATGCCATTTTCTTGTGTAATACCGTGGCTTTCTGGCGCAGTCGTTTAATTTTCAGTAAACACACAGATCAAAACTCCATCCCACCTATAAACGTTTTTGTAGTAAAGAGTAAAGATGCCTGATTGCCAGTAGTATTAAAATTCATATAGTTTTCAATTAATGTCTGCACGTATTAGTTTGTATCCTACTGTATATCAGATTCTGAAAGACTTTTGTTTTAAAACAATGTAAACATTTCCTATTGTTTATTATCGTTTGGTTAGGTAAACACTTCGTTTACTTTAGGGACATGAGTTAAAGTCATCGAAACAGTTAGGTGAAAACGCTGCTTTTCACTGAAATGCAAACACATTGAGATGACGGATCTCAAAATAGGGTGTGTCGTTTGTACTGAATTTCACTGCTGCCTATCTCCAATCAAATTGTAGACTGTTAACCAAGTTCTCTATACCGTTATAAATTTCATGCGTAAATCAACTAAAACTTCTGTGGTTCATTCATGAAGTGAAATGTATGCATTGTGGTGTAAGTCAAATCTTTATTAACTTAGCTACTATCTAATATTACAAGGTTGCATGTATCACAGTCACATGTACTTATCTTGTGGTCTAACCTGGTCAAATGAAATCATAATTAGCTTCCTTCAGCCTCCACATATCGTGGTATGTCATGTTGCATTTGTCCGTTAGAACAAACCAATGCTATCGCTATATATCTTTCCTGCTGCAATTTAACATTATAAATTCCAGTCACACATGTGTCCATGTTTTCACTTAAGAGGTTGTCAAAATTGTTTGCAATCAACACAATTTATCCCCTAAAACAGAATAATTTCGATATTTATAGAATCCTCCTGAAGCATTAATTTCATTTTCTGAAAGTCCTGACTGACCGGTTTCAACATATAACTTTGTATAGAAGTGCAGCAGTTCGAGTTACCCTACTCTATGAAGCACACAAAGTTAGACAAAAGAGAAAAAAGATATCCGAAAGAAGAATATTTAACAGAAATGTGAAAGACAAAGGATAGTAACATGGAGAAACAATAGAGTATTACTGGATGTGATGGATCACAAAGAGTGAATGCATCTGTGCCACTGAGAACTATTTTGAGCCATTTTACCAGTTGGTGGTGCATTCGTTTGGGGCGTAGGTGAAGATTATGGAAAAACATCGACGGGTAACACAGTCCTTCCTCTAACAGATTCGTTCGGATGGACGTCACACACGACGTTTCACTGAGGTCTAGTCGAACACTGGTTTTCCTCCCTGACCCCTGTAATTCCTCCAAGACTATGCGTATGATTTCCTCGCACTTTTAAGGTGGATTTCACGACTTCAACCTGTTGGCTAGGTGACGCTAAGCAAATAACCACACCTGGGTGTGGTATGTGTGTCTCCGGAACGCAACATTCATCCATGGCTCGGGATGGCGGATTTCTCGCCACTGATACCTGTTGTCCGATTTGACAGAGTGTCCTAAGTTAAATGCTCCGAAATTCTTTTGTTATGCAGGTTCGCTTGGTCCACACATGACTCTACCTCATTACCCGAGGATGGGAGCGGCTAGAATACCATCATGCTAGGTAACTAAATGAGGAAATCTTCTTAAGTAATTAATCCCATTAGACGTATTTTCAAAAGCCGTCTTATCACGCCTGTTTGGATGAAATTGCTGACTTTGCTATTAGGCCTAACCCTAAGTGTGACTCTAACTGAGACCAAAGTCGAAATGAAAATGTGAGTGTAATTCATATTAAATGGAAGATAATATGATTACTTTTCCACCGTCATTTCAAAACTTGCGACTCTTGCTGGCTTTACTTTGCATCTGGTGTTATTTTACAAGCATAGTGAAGTGAGAAATATCTTGGGCAAAATGTCATCCAATCTTCACTACACTCTTAATGGGGAAAAATTCGCCAAAGTGGCTTGTCTGCTACTCATTCTGCAGTTAATAGCAATGGCTTGCTGTGAAATAATACTGATGATACAGTACAGAATTCTGAAAGGTTACTGACATCTATTTTGAAGGGTGGAGCGGCTGTAGTAACATGGATCCATTGGAGGGCACACGTAGACTGTGTAGAGCCTTCAAGGTGTTTGGTGAGTGCAATTGTCTACATATCTGTGGGTGTAGCATGAAGCTTGCCTTGGAGAATTTCTTCACGTCTCTCATGTTTGCATCAAAATTCTTGGTTAGAGTCAGGTCATATACTTTGCAAGACAAACTAAGGTCAAATCAAAGGTGTTCCATTGAATTATTAGGATGCATTATTGGAGCTTTCAGTATTTTGTTTACACTTCATCTAGTCTACTGCTGTGATTGTGTTAATTTTTCATTCCATAGGTCTGCTGGATATTTTTTAATGGCGGGTATGCCATTGCGACGTTCAGTTTTCTTCCTAAGGGAGAATTAGTAATTCTAGGAACTAACGCACTCATGAAGGGTCTCTTTCAGTCAGACGTTATTCAATTTAAGTTTTTGGGAGGTGTCACTGGACAAATTTATATCTAAACAATGTCCTGTACTAATGGCAATATAGCTTACCATTTCAGCATCTTGTCAAGATGCTACCCTATGGGCTACTCTTACAAAAGCATCTTACACGTCAGCTTGTCCTAATTCAGATGTTTGAATTCGCTTCTCACTGAAATATCACTTATCTGCCTTATCATAATCTTTTTATTTGTGTACCACTATACTATATTTGATCTTAACTACCTATGCCTTCATTAAAGCTAAAACTTACCTTTTGTTCATATTTGTTGTTTCCTTTAGGTTTGGTTGCTTTGATTGAGAACACAACGACAACAACAGTGTTTGAACAAAGCTATATTTTCATAGAAAATGCCATAGTTTCCATGTTTATATCAGCGTCGTTAGCGTTAAACATCACTCCAAGGAAAATACAGATCCTTGTATAAATCTTGTAAACGAACTTCCAATGCTGAATTATACATAATTGCATTCTATGCCGATTTTTGGTTTAACAGGACCTTCTCGTCCTCCTGAAGTAACTTTTAATAATGTCGAGACATAGCTCTTACTTAAATATGTTATGTTCACTGGGTGACCATAACTATCAGCAGGAAACGGAACGAAGTTTGGGTTGTAGCTCAACTTTGATGGTGACCTTAGTGAAGGGTTTACAATTTAAAACTTATACGAGCCTGTTCTGATTGCTTGTACAATAATTGAACAAATTAAACTTTTCAAAAAGTATTAATTTATGATACTTCGGGATTGTAATTCATAACACTACTGATCATGCCTGTAAAAATGGCAAGCACATCTTGTTAACTTACTCGCTTATACGAAATATAAATTATTATAAAACCCATATAATGAACACTAATCAATGTTTTATTTTCTGTACTTGCAGGAGGATACTCGGGAGTCAATTATCTGGATCAAGAGATACAACGATTGTAGGACTTAAACCTTGCGAGGACAAGAAAGACTGTTTGACTCTAAGAGTGGTTGTCTGCATCTTCAAAACCGATTGTCGTGGAATAAACGTTCTCTGCACAGCTTGAGTCCTGTCTTCATTATCTGTGTGTCTACTGCTTTTGCTGTTGCAAATAAATCTGTCTCAGTCCTGTTCTAATCACTGATCAGCGTACAACCGAAAACTCAGGTGTCATTTTAAAGGTTGACGGATATTAAAGGTTTGACGTGATATCTCGTTCAACAACTTCTAATTAATTTATTCTCGCGTACCAAAGACAAAGCAAAAGCCAACAATTGATCGTCCAAACGAAGAAATGTATTTAGGAACCAAAACCAGCCGATAGACGAACGCTTAGCTAGCTAGTGATCGTGCACGTTACACGACGGGGTACCAAATGGCGGGGATGCTTGACCGGAAGCCTTCAGCTAAACAAGTCGACTTAAACAGTGGTGGTCAGCATCCAATGAGTGATTGCTGTGGTCAATAATTTTGGGGAATTATTTACCGCTACATCATCCAATACTTTTCTCTCCAAGCCTTTTGTCGGTGAATGTGATAGCAAGAGGAATACATAGAATATTGGGGATCAGACTGTATACTGAAGAGAAGGTGTTATAATATGATTTTAGTCTACATTATGTTTGAACGATATATGTGTACATTGGACCGACCTTGACGCGTTGTGCAGCAGTCCTAAAATATGTCCTTCAGTAGACTGTGTGGTTATGTCAATTTTAGGGTTGCACAACACTTCAATGAGCCTACAAAATTATGGACCAGAGGAATGTGTTCGCGTTCAATGGTACAGAATGACGTTAACAAACTGAATATACAAGCAATCCCACATACGAAGAGTACGCGTCATCTGTGCTGGGTTTCTATTTTTGAAAATTTCACTGTACTTGTTTCTATATCAGTACTGCTATTTTTTGAATTTATCACGGTGTTTTTTAACAGTTCTTGTATGGATGTACGTAAGATGTACAAAAGGGATCTTAAGCCATTGAAATTCCACGAATAACGTGATGTGCTTGTGCTACTGAATAGAAATTAGACAATGCGGGACCATTAAATTTTTGCGAAAAATAACCGTCTGATCTCTCTTTGTCAGGAAGTTACCATTTGGGGACCAGTGAATCAACATACTTTTAGGATTTAGAGCAATATGTTATATCATTTGGTGTTAAAAATTTATTTTCGTCGTAGTCTTCTGTTTTTGATGGGTTGGCATCGCAGTTGGTCTGAAGTACGGTTTTGTACAGATGTATATCCCAGTATGTGTACATCGTTCTTTATTAACTGCAGCTATTTATCTGTATGAATTGCATTGTGAGCATGTTAAATTGAGGTTGCGCGTGAGTGGGTGGTCGAAAATTCATTCAAGTGAACTAGCTTTCTAGAAAAATACTTTCAGAGTTTATTGTAAGAGACGTGTTGAATACCACTTGAAGTAAATAGCTTGAACGCACTCCAAATTATAGTGTTAATTTAACCGTTCTTGTAAATCACGTACAAGTATGTGCACATAACTCTTTAGAATTAAAAATGAGCTCAAATAAAAAGAGTTGTTTCAGTGAAATGTATACTTTAAACAACATGGAATCTTTCGCAAATGTATATTATATTATCGCTTGCAAAGTAAAATAAATGTAGATTTATTTGTAACTACTATGAACATGAATTGGTTTGATAATATGCGGTAATTAAATCAGGATGATTGGTTAATAATTATTAACCTGTCTTTAAATATTGCCCGACTCCAAACAGAGAAGACAATTGGGAAGTAAGTCAACCGAAAAACGTCAATAGAGTTACTTCAGGTGGAATTGAACTGAGAGATCTAACCAAGAGATAAAGACATTAAATGGATTCAGTCTCACGGTTTTATACGCTTAAATTAAACGCTTAAATGTTGTAATGACCGATATTATAAAGATCAGTTGTGGGCCCCAAAACTGAATACAATACTCCATGTGGATTCATTAAAATCATAAGTCTTATATTAACATCCGTCTACACGTTGTTAGCATTCTCGTTTGACATTAAGGTTTTGTAATGTTCCAGCTTCATCCCACTTTTTAAGATAGTCGATTTTATTGAATACTGTATGAATAATACTCGTGAAATTTTCGAAACATATTGACTTTTGTGGATTCTGTCGAGCTTGCAAACACACCTTTTTTGAAAATATCTGGACATTAAACCCACAAGCTTACTTTCGTTTGGTGCACTTTTAGATATGCACCTGTTCGTTTGTCTCAGTACTCAGTATCAGTATATTGTGGTTATTGCACAAGTTGTGAAATCTAGGAAAGTCGTAGTTTGCTGCTCGAAAATCTACACAAAATTAGAATAAGGGTGTTAAAAACAATGGATATTGAGAATAGTAAGGTAAAAATTAGTAATTTATCTACGTTATTGTGAGGAAATTTTAGGCATGTCGCCAACAGTATTCAGAGTATTAATTCTTGTCATCTGTAGAACTTTAAAACAGGCAATCTGTGGCTAAAGTCAACAGTTAATGACTACTTGGGTTGTCACCCTGCTGTTAACCGACCATTTTAACTACATGCCAACTTAGTTTCATTATAGCTAACATTGGTCGTTAAGGTTAGTGGCTCGGCACTGATAGCATAAGTTTGAGCCATCTAAATCGACGAGCTACACAAGCTGATCAGTTGTATTTCCTTTCATTGTTATCACTCCGCCTAACCGTAGTTACTAACCAAGTTTAACTACCTAACATGTGAGAGTAAACGGGGACATCTGTAGTCGACGACGGTCAATCCTTCCAAATCTTCCACATTCAGTGGCCATGCCATAGAGTAGAACGCATCACAAATGAATGTCTATTAAGCTCTGTGGTCTTTATGACTGTATTTCCTTTATATAATATGCTGCAGACATTATTTTTGCCAACTAGTCACATGTGTTTATGGTTTTTTGTATTTTATTCACCTTGATATTTCTTCTTATGATTGCTATTACAGAAGAATATTTAGAAAAATTGCTGCTTCAATCAGACTCTCCACATGATGCGCGGGTCTTAAAAATTGCTGTTATAGGTTGTCCGAATAGCGGAAAATCAAGCCTAGTTAATATGCTTACAAAGTGGAAAGTTTGCGCGGTATCCGGAAAAGCACATACAACACGGTCTAAGCAAACAGTAACATTTTTCAAAGACAATATCCAGTTGGTAAGTATACATGTGTATAAAGTCTACAGTAGCAAATTCGTATGTATATTTATTATCATTGGAAGTACAGAGAGAGTTAATCTTACCACTAATTAAGAGTGCGTGTCACCAAGTAAAATCTTAAATGAAGACAAAATTAATGGTCACAATTTATCAATCTTCTTTTAGGAAACAGATTTAGACTTAATATCTATGATTTGACTTTAAAAAACATCTGTTTAAGCTTGTTTAGTCTGGATGTGTAAATTGAATTAGTTGTATGATACCTAATTTTCTAATCCTAGCAGAAAATTATGTTTATTAAACAAGGAAAGAGAGCAATAAATAGGGTAATCAGTCACTCAACTTAGTCTGTATTCTCTTTATTCATGACCAGATATCAATAATTGAAGTGAAAACGATTAAAAGACTGGTAATCGAGCGAGTACGGAGCTTTGTGTCAGTTTTAACTGTGTAAGAGATATGTTGTAAATACATGCGGTGTGCAGTAACACGACACAGGCCGTTTTAGCTGTTCGATCGAATTCATGTTTTCTATGAATGAGTATGTAGCTGTGATAAAAAACAAGCAAAACAATTTTTGTCGTTTTGGCATTCCAGGGGAAGCAATACTCAGTGTTTAGGATTGAATTAGTTGATCTAGTTATCGCCCAAAATGATTGGGTTGAAGTAAAAAGTACTGATTTGCGTACTAAACTTCCAGTTAATGAAATTTTGGTGTGGACTGCACTTCAGTTTCTGAGATTTGAAGGATTGAAGATATAACTGTCTGTTGTAACTCTTGTATTACTATTGAAAGTTCTGGTTGTTCATTCAGGTAACATTTTATCAACAGTTACTATCGTAAAAAATGCATAACTATTGTGTTCCTGAGGCGACGAGTCATAGATTTTGAAATACAACTAATAATAAACAATTATTTAAGTTTGGTTAAACACTATTCACGTTGTGTTCCGATGATATCATCCCTAAAAAAATTGAAGACCTAAGTATTGTTTTTAAAGATTTGGTACTCTGGATTTTGGCATTTTTATACATTTCAGTACTGATCCACTTAACTTTTCGAATATTTCCTTTCTATATCACTATTTAGGCCTTTGTTGATTTACCTGGACTTGTAAATAGATCAAAAGTTTCCAGGTGAGTTATCGCTCTTGTATGTCACCTGAGGAATATTTGACTTGCTGCTTCAGATTTAAATTGGAAAAAACTTTTATTCGAGATCCACATTCGGCCGTTTTTGATTCTGACTTGAGTAAGTTGGTAATTTTTTCATCGTTAATAGTTTTTCATAATATAATCGAAAAATTTTCCTAAAAATATCCGCAAACTAAGAAGACAACTCTCTTAAATCTCACGAAGAATGCTGTACTTTTCAGTAACAGGAAAAACTCAGACGTCAGATTTTCTGATAATAAGCGGGAAAAAGTAAGAAAGGAAAAGGAAAAGAATGAAAGTGACTGGGTATCATGTATTTTTGTGGTACATAAAAATAAACTTGTCTAAACCGTTAACATAGGTCTTTAGATGTATCACGTAAGGTATCCAAATGCTAAAATTGAATTCACCGCTCGGACCCGCATTTAGAGACGTCGTTCATTAGTGGTACGTCTTTGTCTGACAATTATTCTGGTGTGCTACGAATGAACAGTTGTAAGTAGTATATAGTGTAGCTTCTTCGTAAAAGTAACGATAGTATGTATGTCAATGGAAAAGCGGCTGAGAAGGGGTTTGGAGTTTCGAGAAGAACCTAATAAGCGATAGATAGTGAAGAACGAAACATGCATAAAACAGAATCCGTATTATTTACCAATAGTGAAGTTAGTGCGAGGTTTATCACTTCCTTTTTCACTTTTTTTATCTCAATAAACATTGGATCTCCCTAACCAGTTCTATTGTTCGATTTACTATCATTCTCATCTCGGTGGTCATGATGTGTCATAGCTAAATTTTAATTCAGAATGTTCATCACATAGCATAGCTGACCTCTGATGGGTATGGTGGTAACTCAATAACGGTGTGTATTTTATTGCATCTGACAATAGGCCACACCCATAGTGTGAAAACTCATGATACTAATTAGCTTCCCAGGCCTCTTTAGGTGGAGGGGATTCAAATTAACCTCCTGATTTGAAATCTAGTGCCAAATCTTAGCCCCAACATCTCGGTCAGTACTAAATGATAATAAATACACCCCCAAGCATATGCAGCAAGTTTTTTAAGTTTTTAAACCGTCGTTTTATTAATTTGTTTACAATCGATCAGCTTTTGCAGTTAGTACTAAAGACTATATACTTTATCATCAGTGAAAATATGTGTTCACATGTATTCACGGGCACTGTAGTCAATCTAGTTGGTTATATGCTGGAAGAGAGTATCCTTGATAATAGTTTCGTGTTTTTGTGACTTTTAACATTTGATTATAAAGACTTGCTCATGAAGTAACTTTGTTTGAAGCAATCCAGCTAGGTGATGAAAGGTTTACTAGCAAATCTTCATAAACATCAGACAGTTATCATTGTCATAGTGATATTAGGAACGAGATATTCTACCAAGCAACTCATAAATGAATTTATTGTCAAGCTGTACATTTGTTTATATGATATATTGTAGAAAAGTATTCTGTAAGGAAGTGTAAACACTGGGTGACAACACAATGAAAATATGAGTAATAATAATATTTTTCATACAGTTTTTCTTCTTACTTTGTTGGGTATTATTCTTGTTAAGTCGTGTAGGTATAGCTTGAGATTCTGAGTAGTTAGCGCTACAATAACTTTGTTACACTCAAAGCAAATTGAGTCGAGGTATTTCATAGTCCAATTCCCCTTAAAATTGATTACCTAAAAGTGATGAGGACACAAGAATAAGATATATGAACTAAGCAAAATATACTACTGACAGAAATCGATTCGTACAGAATCATATTAAATATCAGGTGAAAAATGCGGGTTGGGAATTTCACATGTATTTTATCCTAACCAATTCCCTAAAAGTCACATTGTAGTTTTTAGTCAGATTGTTCAGTCTATGATTAAGGAATTTACTTGTACGCCTCATAAGATTCATGCACACTTAATGTCGATATCACATGCCTTTGCACCGTTTTTATGCTAGCACTGTCGCATACATCTGTGCATAAATATGGCTAGTGGACAAGTAGAAAAAGTTTCTTCTGAAATATAAGAACCAATAGTTGGACTAAAAAGAGTTACAGAAGCCTATGCCAACAATTTCGTTGTCACTTGAAGTATCTCTTGGTTAAGGTGTGTTGAGGTGTTCCTACTTTTGCCATTGGCATTATATAATCTCATGGATAAAGCCCTGCGTACAAATACGAAGAAATAGTTAATTTATGCTGGTAGGTGATTTAAATACATTTAGTATTTTTTTCATCTTTTAATGCCATGCGTTTAAAATTCGTTAAGCTTAGTAACCGATGATAACTGAACTGTTTTAAAAGCTTACTTATGTTTATGTTAAACAAGTAATGACTAAGGTGTATCTCCTCGTTTTGTTTATTTATCATCTAGTTCTTGTGGTTGTCGACGCTAGTCACAAAGAATCCCGTGAAGGACTACATGAAGAAATTGTAAAAGCATTACACTTTTTCAACGATAAAGAATCCATTCTTGTGTTGAATAAAGTAGGTGAATTATTTCCTAATTGTTATGAATGGCAACTTACTTTAAAATGTGCTTATGTGATCATTTTCAGTGTAACTGTGTCATTCTTGTCTGCACCTTACTGTTATGTAGATTGATAGATTGTATACAAATCCAACAAGGCTGTTGGATGTTACAAGGAAACTAACTGGTGGCGTTGTACATGGTCGCCGTTCACATGTGGATAAGTATGCTGCCAGATTTAAGCGTCGAGCAGAATTAGCAGATAAAGCACATCATCTTATTCCACCGAACGAAATTATTGCATCTAGATTACCTCCAATATGCCAGGAAACAGCTAACAAATTCCTTCAGTACATCAATAATTTACGTGCTCAGATCGAAACAACACAAGTTGAGTTAATCGAATCAGACTCCGAACCGCTTCCAGAAGATGTAAAACAAGAAATATCCCAGTCAAAGTCTGGTGGTAAGTAATCTAGTCAAATAACTTTGTCGAAGACTGTTAGTCTACCCATACTCTTTCACAAGGTTTAAATGACAGCCAAAAGATTTAAAGAGTTGATTTTGCTGTTTAGCTTAGAGTTGATTTATATTTACCAAGTTGGTCGGCTTCCTCATTTTGCTAGTTCAAGGATAGCTTCAATTTTCAACTGGTAACTTGTAAAGAAATTCACTGTGATTCCTTGTCGAAATGGTATGTCATTTATATCGTGTCAGACGGCTGTCAATCTCACTGACTTGAAAATTCTCAAGAATAGGTCAACTAAAAGACGTGAACTGTATAATCAGAATTCTGGCCACTGAGAGTGGAAGACATGAAAAGACTAGCTGTCTTCGATCATAGGTGCCTGCGCTCTATCTCCCGTGTGAAGTGACATAATAAGGTGAGCAACATTGAAGTTAGGCGTCGAGTTCTAGGTAAACAGGGGAAATCAGTCGACGAAGTCGTGAAGTTACAAAGACTGAGATGTTTGGGACATGTGTTACGTATGCCTAGCCATCGCCTTCCTCGACGAGCAATGTTAGCGGATACAGGGTGAGGCTGGAGAAAAGCTAGCGGCGGTCAAACAAAAACTTGGCACTAGTCAATGAAATCCACAACAGTTGGGGTCTAAGCCACGTAGGAAGGTGTAGACTTCCAGGGTGGGGTCTTCGGGACGGTAAAAATCTATGGTTGGAAACAATTGGTGACATGGCTCAAAATCGTTCTCAGTGGCGCAGATGCATCCACTCCTTGTGACTTATGATTTCCAATGGAACTATTTTGTTCTTCGTTATTACTCTTCCTTTGTCTCACACCTCTGCTCACTGTTTCTGTTATGCTTTTCTTGTACTTTCTTCTCTCGCTTTGTGTGCTACATGGAGTGTGGGGACTTGAACTTCCGCACATTTGTGCAAAGTTCTATGTCGAAAATAGACAGACAGACAGTATAATCAGAATTAATCCCATCATTTACACTTAGTTGTCATGTGATTGCTTTATTAACTGATCCTGGCTCAGCGGAGCTTAGAATTACTCGAATAAGCAAACAAGGAATTAGGTTGAGCGAATACATATACTAACATACATATATACTAACTTTTATTGAAGAAAACATCAAATGTAAACCCTTTTAAATTATTTATAAATCAGTCTATATTAACAATCAGTTCAATTTCTGAGGGTTGTCATTGTAATAGAATATATTTTATCACACTAGTCATACCAATTGTCTTTAGTTGTACAAGCTTTTTTGATACTGAATCTATCTTAATTGTATCTGAAAGCAAATAAACATGTCACGAATAATACCTTATCTCTAAGTATTTCATTTTATCCACACTCAGAATCTCATCAGTTAATTCACTCTCCCTTTCCAGAACGATATGTTGCAATTTCATTTAGTCATCTACATAGTTTCACTAAACAAGGGTGATGGAGACCACGTGCATGTTGTTCCTTTCAAATTACTTTTATACAACAGTTACTAAGGTATTTTTTTAGAAAGAGTGTGCAATCTTTCAGGCAAGTGAAGTAATTAGTATAATCATGGGTTTTATTTTGATTAACTAAAGTAGGTAAAAGTATTTAACTTATTGGGCATTCATGCCAAGTAGTCAGCCAACATTCACTTTAGCGGTGTCCTTACCTTTCCAATTCGACTATAGGACTTCATATTTCGAAAATTATAGCTGTTTGTGAACGGTTAATTTGCTTGTTTTATTTGGTTTTACCCATTATCTGTTTGAATAAACAAACACTAATGTCTCCAGTAGAATTCACATTTCTGATAACATATAGATTTCCTGATTAAAATACACACCCGAAGCCTCCTTTGAATTACCCACAGGTGGATCAGATAAGATGTAGTGTACTGCAGGGTTTTATTATTTTACACAATGAAAACGTTCACTTCCCCAACCAGCACTGTTTGAGCAAGCACCCTCAGTTACAGCTTAATATCTAATTTGAGCGAGATAGCACATATTTTTTTTAGCTATATGATCATTCTACACAGGTATCTATTTCTTTTTTAAAGCTTTTCCACAATGCTCCACACAATTATCATTGTGTTTCGTTCTTGTCGCTTTCAGATTTCATGAAAGACCGTCTATTAACAGAAGTGGATAAAGAGAATATTGATGCATTTTTCAGTGATTATCAACCGTACAAAAATGAGAATCAACAGTTTCAGAATGAAATCCAGACGCTTCCAACTTTGTTCAAAAGTGACAATAATGATGTCCTAGATGCAGAGAGTGATACGATATGTGTAGATTCAATGCTGGAAACATTAAAACAGCAACTGTTGCTTCAAGTAGCATCACCTGAAGAGGTAGCAAATCGTCGAAAACGATGGTTGGAAATAACAAGAGAAACCAAAGGTATTACTCAATGGTCAGGATTTAGCGAAGTTTTTATGGTATCTTCATTTATGGGTGACGGGATAGATAAACTGAGGGTAACCTACTGACTTTTTCACATATATTAAAAGGGTTTTATTCTGAATTAATGTATTTTGTATAAAGGTTATTTTCATGCTAATAAAATAAATGTCAACATCCATGGTACACCGATTTTATTCCTTGAAATTTTCCAACCATTTCAGGAATGATAACTTATTCCGGTTCAAACACTTTCCACAGTTGCAGCCTTAGGATAGATTTGTGCTAGGTATCCCTGTTGAAAAAAAGCTGGATTCACTGGTTTAGACACATGACTTTCAGATATTGGTTTCTGAGGGTGACTGGATTCTTGGCCCCTTAGAATTCTGCCATGTGTTAACGCTTTCATCCTGAGAGGCACAAAGAAAAGTAATTCACGATGACTAAGTAGTACAAAATGTATAAAAAATTAAACATCAAGATGAAGAGAATACATTGTCACTGGTTTTAAATATTATGAACCAAGCAACTGGATCAATTAGGGGAGGCAGATGATTCATCTAATAATAACTCGTAAACAGTCGTGCACATTCACAACCTGAGAATGCAGCAATTGAAGTCGCTCTACTACTTTGTTGTTACGAATAAGTTAAAGGATCCCTAATAAGTAGACTAAAATAATCATCTGTTTGAATTGGAGTTTCCACATGGCAACACATCCCTCTAACAAAATCTGTGGCATAGTTCAGTGAAAATTCCTATTCGATTATACACTTTTACAACTACTTGACTACACCACATCATGGATGAAATGTCTGTACGATTATCATTACATTTTTTTTGTTACTTTCACATACTCACTGTTTTGTATTGTTTCTATCGTCTCTGTATTTGTCTGTCTTTACCGTTTTGAGTTGCTAAGTAGTTACTTACATGAGTTTTTTTTTCGGTACGATATCTAACGCTGGTACGTACAAATTGATACAAGTTAGGTTTCAGAAATCCCTAAAGAAGCTATTGGTGCAATGCTTTGGATAAATCCACTATTTTTCTGCTCGAAAAGTACGTCGCGTATGTGTCTATGCAGGAACCTTGTGGTATCGGCGTTCACTCTAGTTGCTGTCTCATTTAGTACTCATTGACACCTCTGAGTCATTTTACAGATTACTTATTTTATTGTAATCAACGTCGTGTGCATGCAACAGTAAACGGTTCAACTGAACTATAGCAACAGTCGCACATGTCAAGTATTCTGGTTTATTTGTCAGCAGATTATAACGTCTTTTCCGTTCCAGTTTTGTATGGCGTCGTACCATAATATCCCTGGATAAATTTAAGCCTGATGAAAATATAAATAGGTGAAGAGTTTTAATTAGAAAGCTATAATTGTAGCATCATATTCCTGTTTATAGCTTTTATTCAGAAATGAATGCAACACAAAAACCCACCTCAAATAGCATTCCAGTGCCAAAAATACTCGCATGTTACTGAATCGAAATAATTATCGCTGTAGTTAGGTGTAATAATCAGATCGCATATGATACTTATTAATTGATATAAGAATAGAACTTGGGCGCTGTGGTAGAGTATAATTCCATTATAGAGGAAATTTTATTTTGATAAAGTCTCACGGAGTTTTATGGTAATATTTACTGAAAGCAGTCATCATCTCCTTGGTACAAAAGTTTTGTTGGCATTGGCAGTGTAATCTCATCAGTCGGAATTCTATTTGTGTGCGTATACTTCCTAACATTAGGACATTATTTTTTCTACATTAGTTTGATGTCCAAATTTCAACCGTGGTTAACAACATCTTGCCAAAGAATACGACTATTTGGAAACAGAATTGTTATTTTCAGAGAGACTAATTGTTTTGGGTCTTACAGTACAAAGTACAAATTTCAATGATAATTAACCACTGTGTAAATTAATTGTGGGTATATTTTTGGAGTGTGCTAGGCACCCGGATTATTTACAAGCTTTTACTCTGGATAGTTGCTTATGTACATTATTTGTAGTAGTATGTGTAAAGATGCTTTCGACTGATAAATTTCCATCATGTAATTGTCTGTCTTATTCTTGATCTTTGCTTAGTTTATTGCTTTTATTGAAATACGATAGTTATCAGCTGTTTAAAATCTATTGGGAAGATTGAATATTGTTTCTGTGAATAGACGAATGGTTTATATTTTTGTTAATGTACTTACTAACTTTGGGATGGGATTGGGAGACAGATTTCGGTAACATCCTAATTCTTTTCTTCCACTTGAAAGTACATGAGAAGTGTGATTTTCTCACGGGTAGTGTTACAAATATAACCTACCAAATCGATTATCGGTTTTTAGTGTTTCTTGACTGTGCTTTGAATAACAGACTTGATTATCTGGTTCTCCTTTGTCAAAGTTCGAGGATCTGTGAAACAGAGTACTACTATTTTGCCTACTATTCTCAATGACTTGGAGGAGGTCATGCGAGGAGGAGATGAAAGCATGTGGACAGACCTGGAGCAGGTTGAAAAAGTTGTCAGAAAACCGAAGTCAATGGAGGTGCGCAGCTGAAGCCCTATGTTCCTCTAGGAACTAAAGGATACAATAATAATAATAATAATTCTCAATAGGACAATTGATATACCTTATTTGTTCGAATTTCTAGGTGAATGTTCATATTCTTTATTATCCAAGCTAAATAAAGAAAATCTTTGTTTTATCACACTAGGATTTCCTTCTATCCAAAGCGGTGCCTAATAGATCATGGATTCTACCACCAACTATGGTCACTGATCAAGAGCCAACTGAACTTATACGTACGTGTGTATGGTCACATTGTCTCGATAAATTACGACAAGAAATTCCTTATTCTCTACATATCGTTGTAGATGACTGTGACAAAATCAAGCAAGATAGTGGTGATGATCGTGTCTATGTGCATGTACGTATACAGTGCCGAAATGAGCGTCAGCTAGTAAGTAACAATCACTTTCTTCATGATTTGATTTCATGTGAGATTGAAATATGTTTCAAATTCTTAATTAATCTCGTTCATTTTTTTACTGATCATGAAAATACTGACGAAATACTATTGAAAATTTGTGCCTTCGTATACATTTCGACATTTATGCATATTTATGTATGGGTGTTTAAATCATAGGGTGATCCGAATTTTTATATATTCTCACTTGTAAGATGTAGCATGAAAGTCCTTACTGTGTATTTACAAACAGCAGAAGTTCAAGATGTTTCGTCAGTAATTATTAAAAGCACTACATTTAGGCGTGTAATGTGGTCCCGACCGAAAGCTGCTACCTTGACGTGGTGGTCGGGCTTGAACACCGCAATGACCTAATCAAGCTATACTGGCTGAGACTTATGTCTCTTGAGGTTCTACCATGCCAGGCAGGTTGTTTGGATAGCGGTTAAACAAAAAGCAGCTACCCAATCCAACATCATGTCCAATACAAAATTACAAAATTTCATGCCGGATCGGCCGTGGCCCGGATTAACAACGACCGCGCTTCCTGCTGCCGTGTCACAGGGCGGGAGTGATAAATCTGCTACTGAGACACACAAAACAAGAAGAACGAACAAAAACAGGCCGCGTGTGACCGGCCTCAAGCAGTTGTCCCCTGGGCTCTGCGGTCACGCAACCAACTTCCACGGTGTGGGCAGCCGGGAAGTAACAATCGCCCTCACAATCCGAAATGCACACGAAACCTCTCTATTACTCACTCATCTTTGTCTTCATCTTCATCTCTATCATCTTGCCTTCCTTCCACTGATGCAACTCCTCGACTTGATAGCTCTCCACTTCCTCTCCACTCTGCGTCCACTAAAAACGATGGAAGCCAAAAAACCACCACCGACAGCCTCTTAAAGCCGCGCCACCAATTTCATATAGGAGCTCTTAATGTTAGGACACTTTGCCAAATAGGACAACAAGCATCACTAGCCAAGACCCTGGCATCACGAGCCATTGATGTATGCTGTGTTTCAGAAACACGCATACAAGACCCAAGTGTGGTTATTCACCTAACCCCACCTGGCCAACAGGTTGAATCTGCAAAATTCACCTTGAGGGTGTCAGGAGATGCCACAGCTAGTTCACGAGGATTAGCTGGCGTAGGGATAGCTTTGAGTACTAGGGCAGAAAAGACATTGCTTGACTGGATCCCGGTAGATAGCCGAATGTGTGCTGTCCGCCTGAACGGATCAGTAAGAAGGAGGAAGGACTGCACTACTCGCCGATGCCTTTTCGTAATCTCCGCCTACGCCCCCACTGACTGCAGTTCAGATGAAACGAAGGATGAGTTCTACCAAAAGCTGTCTAGTTTGGTGAGAAAGGCTAAACGCTCAGACATAGTCGTTCTAGCTGGTGACTTTAACGCTCAAGTAGGGAAATTGTGTCAATCTGAGAAGGATGTCGGTGGCACCTATGGAGTTCCGTGCCAGCGAACCGACAACGGTGACCGTCTCCTACAGTTCTGCTCTGATAATCATTTGTTTCTTGTAAGCACTAACTTCAAACACAAGGAGAGACACTGTTTGACTTGGAGACCCCCTTCATCAAACCAACGCTGGACACAAATAGACCACATAGCAATAAGCTATCGTTGGCGTGGGTCGGTAGGAGATTGTCGCTCCTTCTGGAACACGTGCGTAGATACCGACCATGCACTGGTCCGCGCTCGGGTGTGCTTACGACTGAACGGACGTAGGAAACAGCTGGCGGTAAAACCATCACGTCCCCAGCTCGATCAGGAAACTAAATCCGTATTTCAGGAAGAACTAGCTAAACACATATCTGTGTTCGACAGCTGTGCTCACCCTGAAGAAGCTTGGAAAAATATCCAGGCAGCCATAGATACAGCTGTAAAAGCTGTGAATAAGGTAAACCCAAAGGTGAGTAAAAACCACTGGATCTCCACCGCCTCATCCGAACTGATAGATGCTAGAAGACTTATTCCGGCGAGCTCCGAATTCAATGAGGAGCGAAAGCTGCACAAGAGGAAACTTACGAAAAGTCTCCGCAAGGACCGTGAACAGTGGTGGGCGACAAAAGCCAAAGAGATGGAGAAAGCTTTGAGGATAGGCAACACCAGGCAACTCTTTGGACTCATCAGGGAAACGGGTGGGAGAAGACAAATCATTAGTGAGACAATCTCGGAAAAAAATGGCACTATAATTAGCTCCCAGGATAGACGACTGGATCGTTGGAAAGAGCATTATGAGGAGCAGTTTAATTTGCCCACAGCCACGCTCAACCTTCCGAGCATCCAACACCTCCCTGAATGGGATATAGACACAGGTCCTCCGTCACTAACTGAGGTTACTAAAGCTGTCACCAATCTGAAACTAGGCAAAGCAGCGGGACCTGATGGAATGACTCCAGAGGTATTTAAGTACGGTGGAGACAGCTTACTGTCCGGATTAACTGAGGTACTAGGCAGCGTCTGGGAATCAGAAGAAGTCCCATCGGGTTGGTGTAAGTCACTGATTATCCCCATATACAAGAAGGGAGACAAGTCTTCCTGTGATAATCACAGAGGGATTAGCTTGACTAATATAGTATCTAAAGTCTTAGGCTCAATAATCATGCGTAGACTGAGTGGTGCTCGGGAAGCACAAACACGAGAGAGCCAGGCAGGCTTTAGACCAGGAAGAGGGTGTATTGATCATATCTTCACCCTCCGACAGATTCTAGAACATAGGCATTCCTACCGGCGTCCAACAGTCATTATATTTCTTGACCTAAAGGCAGCATTCGACTCTGTCGATCGGGAAGTTCTCTGGAGATGCTTGGCTGTAAAGGGAATTCCAAGAAAATATATTGCACTGATTAAGGCACTCTACTCGTACTCATACAGCCAGGTGAGGGCTTACGGCGAGCTGTCATCTGAACTGATGACGACCAGTGGTGTCCGTCAAGGATGCCCATTATCTCCTTTTCTATTCAACTTCATCATAGATGTGTTAATGGACTTAACCCTAGGTGACTTCAGCGACTCAGGGATTGACTTGCTACCTGGGAATAATCTCGTTGACTTGGAATATGCAGACGATATAGTCCTTCTAGGCGAAGACGCTGACGAAATGCAGAGTCTTCTAAACACCTTGAGCCGCAATCTACGAATGTTTGGCATGCGATTCGCTCCCGCCAAATGCAAGATGATGTTACAGGACTGGACTACATCGACGCCTAGTTTAAAAATAGGAAGTGAAGTGGTAGAGCACGTTGACCGCTTCACTTATTTGGGAAGTACCATCAGCCCCAACGGGCTGATCTCTGACGAAATCTCAGCACGAATACAAGGGGCTCGTTTCGCATTTGTTAGTTTACGCCGACTCTGGCGTAGACGAGATGTTCGACTATCGACCAAAGGGCGGGTGTACTGCTCATCAGTCCGCTCCGTCCTCCTTTATGGTTGTGAGACCTGGCCACTGAGAGTGGAAGACATGAAAAGACTAGCTGTCTTTGATCATAGGTGCCTGCGTTCTATTTCCCGTGTAAAGTGGCATAATAAGGTGAGCAACATGGAGGTTAGGCGTAGAGTTCTAGGTAAACAGGGGAAATCAATCGACGAAGTCGTGAAGCTACAAAGACTGAGATGGTTAGGACATGTGTTACGTATGCCAAGCCATCGCCTCCCTCGACGAGCAATGTTAGCGGATATAGGGTCAGGCTGGAAAAAAGCTAGCGGCGGTCAAACAAAAACTTGGCATCAGTCAATGAAATCCACAACAGTTGGTCTAAGCCACGTAGGAAGGTGTAGACTTCCAGGCTGGGGTCCTCGGGACGGTAAAAATCTATGGTTGGAAACAATTGGTGACATGGCTCAAAATCGTTCTCAGTGGCGCAGATGCATCCACTCCCTGTGACTTATGATCTTCAATGAAACTGTTTTGTATTTCTTTATTACTCCTTTGTCTCACACCTCTGCTCACTGTTTCTATTATGCTTTTCTTGTACTTTCTTCTCTTGCTTCGCGTGCTACACGGAATGTGGCGACTTGAACTTCCGCACATTTGTGCAAAGTTCTATGTCGAAAACAGACAGACAGTGTAATGTGGTTGTACACCTTTCAATGACATATAATATTACTTGATTTGTAAAACAAATATGCCCAATCTATATTTTGCAAACAGTACACCACAGTGATATGTATGCGTTTCTTTTAGCTAGACACTATTCGGTTGCTTGAATTTAGATAGATGATTGAATTTTGAATCTCTGACTTGAACTTAGAGTTGCATTGGTAGTACCGTGATGTATGATGGTATGAAAGTTAAGTTTTTGTTTTTCAAAAACTACCAAACTTAATGAAAGGAACGCCTATCCTAGGAGTGAATGTAATAATTTGAATCCAAGGTTAGAGTAAAAGGATGTCATCTTGGAAATGTGTTCGAAATATTGACGGCGTGAATAGGCCATTGTTTTTCTTTTCGTGTAACTTTTGCTTTCTAATAACTGTTTTCTCGGGCAAAAATCTCAAGATTTCCTTTGTGTACAGGATTTCATCATGAACTGACATTAGTTAGTGAATCTAAGGAAAACCTAGGAGTACTGGACGACTGTTTCGTCCTGGTATGAGACTCTTCAGCACCATGTACCCACTGGGATTCGAACCCAGGGCATTCTGGTCAGAAGGCGAGCTCATATACCATTAAGCCACTAGGACCCGATCCAACGGCCCATGAAATCCTGTGAGCAATCAAAATCCCTACAAACCAACACTTGTCTGTCTGTTTTCGACATAGAACTTTGCACAAATGTGCGGAAGTTCAAGTCCCCACACTCCATGTAGCACACAAAGCGAGAGAAGAAAGTACAAGAAAAGCATAACAGAAACAGTGAGCAGAGGTGTGAGACAAAGGAAGAGTAATAACGAAGAACAAAATAGTTCCATTGGAAATCATAAGTCATAAGGAGTGGATGCACCTGCACCACTGAGAACGACTTTGAGCCATGTCACCAATTGTTTCCAACCATAGATTTTTACCGTCCCGAAAACCCCAGCCTCGAAGTCCACACCTTCCTACGTGGCTTAGACCCCAACTGTTGTGGATTTCATTGACTAGTGCCAAGTTTTTGTTTGACCGCCGCTAGCTTTTCTCCAGCCTCACCCTGTATCCGCTAACATTGCTCGTCGAGGAAGGCGATGGCTAGGCATACGTAACACATGTCCTAACCATCTCAGTCTTTGTAACTTCACGACTTCGTCGACTGATTTCCCCTGTTTACCTAGAACTCGACGCCTAACTTCAATGTTGCTCACCTTATTATGCCACTTTACACGGGAAATAGAGCGCAGGCACCTACGATCGAAGACAGCTAGTCTTTTCATGTCTTCCACTCTCAGAGGCCAGGTCTCACAGGCATAAAGGAGGACGGAGCAAACTGATGAGCAGTACACCAACACTTGAATTTCCTTTGTGTGTATAAACACTGATATTGTAGTAAATGCTGTTACAGGCGTTAAAAAAAGCTGGGTAGGTAGATTCGATCAGTCGTTTCAAAAGCGATTAATGCTCAAAAAATGTGTGAAATGAATTGCTGGACAATAATTCAAACCCTTTGATGATTAGCTCGACAGAAACAATGGGTAAAGATATCATTAGATATTACAGAGAAGAGTTGTAGCTCAGGTGCATGACTTTGATGTGGTTGTGTTCTCTGAGCTGGACAGTTAATTTGGGAGGCTTTCATCACCCTACTAGGTGACATCTTCAGTGCATACTTCAATTTGAAGTGAGCTTTTACATTTCTCCACGAGTTTATTAGTCATCTCTCCTGGTAACCTTCAACGTAGTGATTGGTTGTTTGTGTGTTTCTGTTTCTACACCTTCTAGGTTACTTGCATTGGAACTGATTGTTTCTTTGACTTGAACTTTGTTGTTCCGTTTTTGATCCATCAAAACGACTACTATCAAAAATGGAACAACAACTACTACAAAAAGGATTAAACTACAACACCGGAAATGCTTCGAAAACTAATTTCTTCGCTGCTCTTAAATCATTACTCAAATCATCAAATTTGAACTGGGAACTTCAGGAAGAGATACGCCAAACAGTTATACCTATGGTCAAACAGAAAAATAACACACACAACTCAACTCTCAAGAACTAAAGGCCCTCAAAAAGCTGAAAAATAGGAAGGACATCGTCATTCTATCAGCCGACAAAGGAAGAACAACAGTAGTCATGGACAGAGAAGAATATACCAAGAAAGCTAAAGAACTACTCAAAGACCGGGATGTATATCAACGACTCCCAACAAATCCCATACAAACATTGAACAACCGCATCCGAGGGACCTTAAACAAGCTCACCAAAACTAGACAGATCACAAAACAAGACCAATGGCAAATGAAATCCAATGGACCAGTCCTACCCGATTCTACGGCAGACCCAAAATACACAAGGCAAATATCCCGTTACGACCAATTGTATCACTCCCAGGAACTCCAACATATAATTTATCCAAAGAATTATACAGAAAACTAAGACAACTAACGGAATCTTGTGATCGCTCCATCAACTTTGCTATCCAATCCCTAGAGAAAATCAGAGGTATCCAAATAGATGAACAAGAAATAATGGTATCCTTCGACGTGACAGCATTATACACCTCTTCGGACAAAAACTAGCAAAAGAAACCATGGAGCAATTACTTAGCAACGACGAACAACTTCCACAACAATCAAAAATGCAACACACAAGCTAGATGGAATGCATAACCTATGCCCAACAACATACTTCCAATCCAACGGTCAAATATATGAACAAGTCAAAGGAACACCCATGGGATCGCCAATATCAGGTTTGATTGCAGAAGCAGTGATGCGAAGGCTCGAAAACATAATTCTACCAAATATCAAACCCAAGATTTGGATACGATACGTCGACGACACATTTTTAATAATCAAAAGAAACGAGTTAGATAAAACTCACAACTTAATAAACAACGTCTTCAACGACATCAAATTCACAAGAGGAGAAGAATCCGAGAACCAAATCCCATTTTTGGACGTCTTAGTCAAGCGAACAACCACAGGGGAGTTAGAAACTCAAGTTTATAGAAAATCAACTCACACAGACCAAATCCTGAATTACAGCAGCAGCAATTCAATGACACACAAAAGGAATTGCATACAAACACTATTCTAGAGGGCAATGGCTTATTGTAGCACTTACACCTTAAGGAAAATTGAAGAAAAGTATCTCATGGACGTCTTTTAAAAGAACAGATATCCACGGAGTTTCATCAGAAGACATATACCCACAAGCCAACCTATCAAACCAAAAGCCCCCAAGGAAAGCACAAAGAAAATCGCCCTACCATATATAAAGGATATCTCAGAAATCACTACAAAACTCTTCAAACCTTTAGGAATTGACGTCGTACACAAACCAACAAAGTCACTTCACTCAGCTCTATGTCAACCAAAAGACTCAACAGCGAAAGAAGATAAAACCAACATCATCTACAAAATAAATTGCAGCAACTGCGAAAAACACTACATTGGCCAAAGTGGATGTCCCCTTCGTCTTCGTATCCACAAACATAAGCTAGCTGTCAAGAGACATGATATCCACTCCCTCATATCACTACACACAGACAACCACGGACATCAATTCGACTGGGACAACGTTCAAATATTAGGCAGAGGAAACAACAAGAATGCTAGAGAATTTTTAGAAGCTTGGAATTCTAGTGAATCATCAATCAATAGACACATCGAGATAGACAAAACTTATCAACCAATAAGAAAGAAACTTCACACACAAAGGGTCAAAGTTCAAGTCAAAGAAACAGTCAGTTCCAAGACAAGTAACCTAGAAGATGTGAAAACACACATAAACAACCAATCATGTCCAGGGTGACCAGGAGAGATGATTGATAAACTCGTGGAGAAATCTAAGAGCTCACTTCAAATTGAAGTATGAGCTGAAGATGTCACCTAGTAGGGTGATGAAAGCCTCGCAAATTAACTATCCGGCACAGAGAACAGCCACATCAAAAAATATCCTTAATAATGAAAAGCACTACAACAGACTCAATAAATAAAACGATGGGATAGTATTATTATTATTTTCTTTCATTCCTAGAGGATCATAGGGCTTCATCCGCGCGTCTCCTTGCCTTCGGTTCTCTGCTAGGGTTTTCACCTGGCTCCAAGTCTGCCCACATGCTTATATCCTTTTCACATGACCTCCTCCAAGTCACTCTTACACTGATGACCAACTCGCCGCTTCCCTTTCAGGTTCCACTCGAGGCTTCTCTGGTGATGTCACTTGGTGGTTTCCTGAGAATATGGCCAATCCAATCCATCTCCGTTTCTTCTTGCCTATTTGTTTCAAAATTGGTTCCTGGTTGGTTCGCTCCCAGAGATCACTCACTATTGCTGATCTTTTCTGGCCGGCCATCTCATCTTGAGTATTGAGCGAAGACAGCTGTTAGTGAAGGTATGAAGTTTGTTTGAGATGCTCTTTATGACGCGCAGTGCAAGTCTCTGATCCATCCGTAGAGTAGCACTGACTGACTTCACATTGGAGTTGAAAATCCGGATCTTATTTTTGATCCTGAGTGTTGTTGACCTCCACACAGACTTGAGAGTAATGAAAGTTGGTCTTGCTTTTCCGATCCTTGGTTTGATATCCTCGTCAGTTCCATCGGCCTGTAGTTGAAACGATGCTTCCCAGGTAGGCAGTTGAAGGTTGTTTCTTTCAGGTTCCTCTCATTTATGCTGGCTGATTGTTGTATGTTGTTGTTGTTGCTGTTGGTGTTGGCCAGGAATCTTCATCACCTCTGTTTTCTCTATGTTCACCTGAGGTCCTATCTTCTCTGGATACTTCTTCTTCCAACTTGTTGCTTTTCACTTTCATATCTTCCGGTTTGTGAGAAATCAGACATCTATCATCGGCGAAGTCCAGATCCTCCAAGTTTTTTGTGTGAGTTCATTTTATGCCTGTTTCCTCATCGCTCGTTGTCTGTCTCATTATCCAATCTACTGCAATCAGGAAGATCATTGGCGATAGTAGGCAGCCTTGCTTCACTCCCGTCCTCACTTCAAAGGCTTCCGTAAGTTTCCCGTTGTGGATTACTTTGCATGCAGCATTGTCATATAACTGTTGGATGAGATGTATAATTGTCGATGGGACCCACTAGTAGCAAAGTAGTTGCCAAATCACCTCTCGATCGACGCTGTCGAAGGCCTTTTCAAAGTCGATGAAGTTGAGTGAGGTGGAGAGGTGACTGCCATTCCAAGCTTTGTTCAGTGATGATCCGTAGTGTGGCGATTTAATTAATACATGACTTGTTTCTCCTGAATCCGGCTTGTTACGGCTTGGCTCAATCGCGCTTATAGGTAAAATGTTAGTTTTCCCACTGTGAAATACTAAATCCATTTGTCTCCTATTCACTTGTGTTCCTATACTAGTTAACTTTTCCCAGGATACATAATAATATATCTTGTTGATCACAGCTTCTTATGTCTTGTGTTAATCAGAGTATGCATGGGGAAGCAATTTTTCTAGGTGTGATCCTGTAAAATAAATTTATAAATAGTTGTCCCTTAGTTTAATATTAACCTTCACTGGAATAATAAATCTTATCTTCACTATCTCGTCTTCTGTGTCTAATCAGTAGAACAGAAACAGTATTCATGTGAATATTACTCCCTTATAGTAATACGAAGTATTATACGATGGTAGTCAAGCAGTTCGTAGTCCACCATTTGGGAAGCAATCCAGATCGATTGTTTTCAGGTCACTTGAATTCCGTTTTCCAATTTTTTCTTTTCGCTATCCAACTGCTCGACATCGTTGGCATATTTTCTACTAAATCAGATGTGGTCACCTAACTACCTGCCTTATTCTGATTGATGTCTTTTTGGATTGCAGGAATTATAGTATTTATTACTGTGTTCATAAAACACAGTACACGTTATGAAGCATTAATTGCTCAGTATAGTTTGTCTTTTCTTTTTATGAATTAAACACTATCTGGATTTCCCTGAATTTCTGTAGACACTTGACATTATTGCTATATGAAATCAGTCCTGAAATACCGTTCACCTTTAATTTATCTTTGTTAAACTGTGTGTTCTGCACTTACTTTTTGAATATCTGTAAGGTATTAGTTCTCCTTATCAGTTATCCTACATAACATGTAGTAGTATGACACATGAATGCCCACTATTCCATAGTACTAAATTATTCTGTCGGTTTATGTTTTCTAGCGAAATTTCATTTACTTATGTTTTATAACCTGAGGTATGTAACTATGTAGTTTTCCATGCAAAGTAATTTCTTTATTAATTGTCATTATTAAATCAATTATTAAGAAAAACATTTTGTAAATTATTAAATTACCCCATTTCTTGTGGTTCAAGAAAAATCCACGAATGAAAAAACGTGCTTTTAGTCATTATTGTTTCCTTTTGTTTTCCAGTTGAGCGTTCTAGGCATCAAAGGCAATACAATTAAGGAAATTGCAGGTGCTGTCAAACTGGACCTTATGACAGCGTTTCGATGTAATACAGTTGTAAAACTAACCGCTGAAATGTCAGGAATCGATCATCATATCAGAAAAAAACTAAACCAGGCCAAACAGTTTTCTGAAGTTTTTCCAGAATATGACAAATCGAAATAAAATACCAATTCATTTCCTAAAAATCTTTTTTCAAAGGAATCTATAACCATTCAAAAACTTTACCTAAAATAAACAAATTTTCAACTCCTTCACTTAACCTGTCCAGTTTTAATAAAACATTCCATAATATATACTTAAAGTACCCTCCAAAACAAGTACCAAGACAATGGTCACATTCTGCATCATGCCGCAAAATATAACAATAAATATACCATCGCAATAACGATCCACAAAATGGAACGAAACATAACTTCACTAAAACATACAGGATATTTCACAGCAGTGCATCAGTTGAATGTATTGAATGAGAAGCTGGCTAGGCATTATTCTGAGCATGACAGCCACACTCATCTTAAGGAAGACTGCTACAATCTCAAGTCGTCGGAGAAACAACGGTGAAGACGACTGACAATGTTCACATAGATTGAGTAAAATCTGGTGGATGACCAGCTGTTAACCCATCGGAAGTGATCAATGCAAGCAGACCAGTTTCGGTATGTTTCAACGTAGGCTGACTAAAAGACTCTGTAATGACTGAACACAAGGCCGGTTAAGGAAGTAGAAAAGATATCGACACTGAGTAATATCCGTCAACTATAGAGTCTGATAAAAACGATAGGCCCTGAAAGGAATATGGCGAATACAACAATCATCGGGAAAGATGGGAGTCTAATATTTTGCGAATGCATGTTTCCAGCCTTGTGAAAGTCAACTGGAGTTAGAGCTGAATTGGTCACAGTTGCCTACCATTCGAATGGAGGTTGAATTCGGTAAGGCTGCATCATAGGTCAATGGAAGCAGAGAGCAGGTTAAGACTATCTAGGGTGCGAGCTGCTACATTCGAATTCAAGTTATTTATCACGCACCACTGGAGATGACTAGTCCTCCCGATGATGATAAAATCCAGTGTCCATCAGAAATGCCTAGTGTCATCTCACTAATTAATTTCTACAAAAGATGTTATGATGTAGGCGAGACAGCCTTCCACCGAGGCATTGTAAACTCGATATTCGACGGAGAGAGTAAGTGTTCTGTGGGTCGAGAGTGGCTCAGGTTGGCGGCGTATGCCCGTCTGGCTTCGACTATACGACTTGGAGTTTCATGCGTCACACCGCCTGAACTGACCCAGCTACCCAGACTCGCAAAGCTTCTCCTGACCACGTCTACCGGTCCACCTGCAACATTGAGTGCTGAATTGCACTGAATTCTCAACGTACAACATTGCACAAAAGTGCAAATGTCTAAGTCACCAAATCTCATGGTGAAAATGTTTGAGAGAGTTCGACGCCGAAAACGCCACATCCTGACTTCTTCATGCCGGTCTGTAGTCGACTATGAGTTTCTGTGTACGGACGAAAAACACTGGTTGACGAGGGAATGTAGAACTCGTCACAGAAGTGCATCAGTTGAAGTTGTCAGATTTCGGAAAATCTGACAAAAGTAGGTGAAATAAATGTGTGTAATGAGACGAGAATACGCAATAAGGTGTGTGGGAGAGTGAGAGGGAGGGAATTACATGTGGATCGGTCAGGGTTTTCAGAACCCGTGAGATGGACGAAGTCGTTGTCTGTATATGACTCATCCAACAGGGCAGTGAGTAGAGGATGACCACTCCTGAGAGACTTGTGTGCACTCTGATGACGAATTGTTCTGTTGACGCAGGTGTATGCCCAGGTCAGAAGGAAGGTAGAAGACAAACCAGTGCAAAGCTGTCACGTGTCCTCCCCACCGATGAAAACATTACGTTTGTATTGAATGAGAAGCTGGCTAGGCATTATTCTGAGCATGACAGCCACACTCATCTTAAGGAAGACTGCTACAATCTCAAGTCGTCGGAGAAACAACGGTGAAGACGACTGACAATGTTCACATAGATTGAGTAAAATCTGGTGGATGACCAGCTGTTAACCCATCGGAAGTGATCAATGCAAGCAGACCAGTTTCGGTATGTTTCAACGTAGGCTGACTAAAAGACTCTGTAATGACTGAACACAAGGCCGGTTAAGGAAGTAGAAAAGATATCGACACTGAGTAATATCCGTCAACTATAGAGTCTGATAAAAACGATAGGCCCTGAAAGGAATATGGCGAATACAACAATCATCGAGAAAGATGGGAGTCTAATATTTTGCGAATGCATGTTTCCAGCCTTGTGAAAGTCAACTGGAGTTAGAGCTGAATTGGTCACAGTTGCCTACCATTCGAATGGAGGTTGAATTCGGTAAGGCTGCATCATAGGTCAATGGAAGCAGAGAGCAGGTTAAGACTATCTAGGGTGCGAGCTGCTACATTCGAATTCAAGTTATTTATCACGCACCACTGGAGATGACTAGTCCTCCCGATGATGATAAAATCCAGTGTCCATCAGAAATGCCTAGTGTCATCTCACTAATTAATTTCTACAAAAGATGTTATGATGTAGGCGAGACAGCCTTCCACCGAGGCATTGTAAACTCGATATTCGACGGAGAGAGTAAGTGTTCTGTGGGTCGAGAGTGGCTCAGGTTGGCGGCGTATGCCCGTCTGGCTTCGACTATACGACTTGGAGTTTCATGCGTCACACCGCCTGAACTGACCCAGCTACCCAGACTCGCAAAGCTTCTCCTGACCACGTCTACCGGTCCACCTGCAACATTGAGTGCTGAATTGCACTGAATTCTCAACGTACAACATTGCACAAAAGTGCAAATGTCTAAGTCACCAAATCTCATGGTGAAAATGTTTGAGAGAGTTCGACGCCGAAAACGCCACATCCTGACTTCTTCATGCCGGTCTGTAGTCGACTATGAGTTTCTGTGTACGGACGAAAAACACTGGTTGACGAGGGAATGTAGAACTCGTCACAGAAGTACATCAGTTGAAGTTGTCAGATTTCGGAAAATCTGACAAAAGTAGGTGAAATAAATGTGTGTAATGAGACGAGAATACGCAATAAGGTGTGTGGGAGAGTGAGAGGGAGGGAATTACATGTGGATCGGTCAGGGTTTTCAGAACCCGTGAGATGGACGAAGTCGTTGTCTGTATATGACTCATCCAACAGGGCAGTGAGTAGAGGATGACCACTCCTGAGAGACTTGTGTGCACTCTGATCACGAATTGTTCTGTTGACGCAGGTGTATGCCCAGGTCAGAAGGAAGGTAGAAGACAAACCAGTGCAAAGCTGTCACGTGTCCTCCCCACCGATGAAAACATTACGTTTGTATTGAATGAGAAGCTGGCTAGGCATTATTCTGAGCATGACAGCCACACTCATCTTAAGGAAGACTGCTACAATCTCAAGTCGTCGGAGAAACAACGGTGAAGACGACTGACAATGTTCACATAGATTGAGTAAAATCTGGTGGATGACCAGCTGTTAACCCATCGGAAGTGATCAATGCAAGCAGACCAGTTTCGGTATGTTTCAACGTAGGCTGACTAAAAGACTTTGTAATGACTGAACACAAGGCCGGTTAAGGAAGTAGAAAAGATATCGACACTGAGTAATATCCGTCAACTATAGAGTCTGATAAAAACGATAGGCCCTGAAAGGAATATGGCGAATACAACAATCATCGAGAAAGATGGGAGTCTAATATTTTGCGAATGCATGTTTCCAGCCTTGTGAAAGTCAACTGGAGTTAGAGCTGAATTGGTCACAGTTGCCTACCATTCGAATGGAGGTTGAATTCGGTAAGGCTGCATCATAGGTCAATGGAAGCAGAGAGCAGGTTAAGACTATCTAGGGTGCGAGCTGCTACATTCGAATTCAAGTTATTTATCACGCACCACTGGAGATGACTAGTCCTCCCGATGATGATAAAATCCAGTGTCCATCAGAAATGCCTAGTGTCATCTCACTAATTAATTTCTACAAAAGATGTTATGATGTAGGCGAGACAGCCTTCCACCGAGGCATTGTAAACTCGATATTCGACGGAGAGAGTAAGTGTTCTGTGGGTCGAGAGTGGCTCAGGTTGGCGGCGTATGCCCGTCTGGCTTCGACTATACGACTTGGAGTTTCATGCGTCACACCGCCTGAACTGACCCAGCTACCCAGACTCGCAAAGCTTCTCCTGACCACGTCTACCGGTCCACCTGCAACATTGAGTGCTGAATTGCACTGAATTCTCAACGTACAACATTGCACAAAAGTGCAAATGTCTAAGTCACCAAATCTCATGGTGAAAATGTTTGAGAGAGTTCGACGCCGAAAACGCCACATCCTGACTTCTTCATGCCGGTCTGTAGTCGACTATGAGTTTCTGTGTACGGACGAAAAACACTGGTTGACGAGGGAATGTAGAACTCGTCACAGAAGTGCATCAGTTGAAGTTGTCAGATTTCGGAAAATCTGACAAAAGTAGGTGAAATAAATGTGTGTAATGAGACGAGAATACGCAATAAGGTGTGTGGGAGAGTGAGAGGGAGGGAATTACATGTGGATCGGTCAGGGTTTTCAGAACCCGTGAGATGGACGAAGTCGTTGTCTGTATATGACTCATCCAACAGGGCAGTGAGTAGAGGATGACCACTCCTGAGAGACTTGTGTGCACTCTGATGACGAATTGTTCTGTTGACGCAGGTGTATGCCCAGGTCAGAAGGAAGGTAGAAGACAAACCAGTGCAAAGCTGTCACGTGTCCTCCCCACCGATGAAAACATTACGTTTGTATTGAATGAGAAGCTGGCTAGGCATTATTCTGAGCATGACAGCCACACTCATCTTAAGGAAGACTGCTACAATCTCAAGTCGTCGGAGAAACAACGGTGAAGACGACTGACAATGTTCACATAGATTGAGTAAAATCTGGTGGATGACCAGCTGTTAACCCATCGGAAGTGATCAATGCAAGCAGACCAGTTTCGGTATGTTTCAACGTAGGCTGACTAAAAGACTTTGTAATGACTGAACACAAGGCCGGTTAAGGAAGTAGAAAAGATATCGACACTGAGTAATATCCGTCAACTATAGAGTCTGATAAAAACGATAGGCCCTGAAAGGAATATGGCGAGTACAACAATCATCGAGAAAGATGGGAGTCTAATATTTTGCGAATGCATGTCTCCAGCCTTGTGAAAGTCAACTGGAGTTAGAGCTGAATTGGTCACAGTTGCCTACCATTCGAATGGAGGTTGAATTCGGTAAGGCTGCATCATAGGTCAATGGAAGCAGAGAGCAGGTTAAGACTATCTAGGGTGCGAGCTGCTACATTCGAATTCAAGTTATTTATCACGCACCACTGGAGATGACTAGTCCTCCCGATGATGATAAAATCCAGTGTCCATCAGAAATGCCTAGTGTCATCTCACTAATTAATTTCTACAAAAGATGTTATGATGTAGGCGAGACAGCCTTCCACCGAGGCATTGTAAACTCGATATTCGACGGAGAGAGTAAGTGTTCTGTGGGTCGAGAGTGGCTCAGGTTGGCGGCGTATGCCCGTCTGGCTTCGACTATACGACTTGGAGTTTCATGCGTCACACCGCCTGAACTGACCCAGCTACCCAGACTCGCAAAGCTTCTCCTGACCACGTCTACCGGTCCACCTGCAACATTGAGTGCTGAATTGCACTGAATTCTCAACGTACAACATTGCACAAAAGTGCAAATGTCTAAGTCACCAAATCTCATGGTGAAAATGTTTGAGAGAGTTCGACGCCGAAAACGCCACATCCTGACTTCTTCATGCCGGTCTGTAGTCGACTATGAGTTTCTGTGTACGGACGAAAAACACTGGTTGACGAGGGAATGTAGAACTCGTCACAGAAGTGCATCAGTTGAAGTTGTCAGATTTCGGAAAATCTGACAAAAGTAGGTGAAATAAATGTGTGTAATGAGACGAGAATACG